TATGTGGTGCTGAGGATCGAACCTGGGTCGCATGCATGCCAGGAGAGCACGCTACCGCTTGAGCCACATCTCCAGCCCCTCTTTATCCGTATATTCACTTGCCTATGCAACCAATAACCAAGCAAGTCTTTTTTTTAGATCAAATGTAAAAACCTAGATGAAAGTTAGATTGTAGAGTTGCTAAAGAAGAAATTATTCAGTGATTCTTGTTAAAGATGGTAAGGCAGACTTTATTCAAGGGGGCAATGGCAATAGGTATAGGGACCATTGCAATGGGGTCATAGAATGGGGAGAGAGATTGTGCTCAACTCTGACTCCAAAAAGAACAAGGGTGGTTTATACAAGGGGCAGAGTGGAGGTGAATGGATGGAAAATTAATAAGAAGAAATATTAGGAGTAAGAAAGTCTTTGACTCAATGCTTGAAAGGATTATTGTTAAAGACAGACCAGGTGATAAGACATTGAAGACGGTTAGACATCAAGGATGAGAATTTATCACTGAACTGACTTGGCAGGACTCTTGCTCAAAATGGATTTTATAAGAACAGAAGAGGAAGTCCAAATCAGGCCTAGTCAGAAAGACCTCAGGAACTTGACTCAAGTATAGTGAAAAGAGTATTTACCAAGTTCTTGGATTTTTACTATAGGAACATGGCTCTTATTAACTTCATTCGGAACTGAGAATATCATGTCTAGGATTGACCAAGAAGTTGTTGGAATAAACATGTTAAGGTTTATTCAGGTTAAGGTGACCTTGCCCTACAGAGTATACATCATCTCAAGATGATGTACACTGAGAACAAAATGACAATCAGAATCAAAATAACAAGGTGATGTAGACAGCTACTTAAGCAGATTAAACTCCAGCAGTGATTCTGAAATTTATTGTTAGTGAAAACCTTGGCTTCTTATAGCATAAATGATCTTATGAAATGAGTAGTATAGATACAGAGTGGGAAAGAAAAATTTCTATTTTTTTTTTAACCAGGGAAAGAAGCAAAGCTCTGAAATAAAGAAGAAAATTCTAAAATCAGTTTTCCTAAGTCAGCTTTTGACGCTGTGACCAAAATACCCAACAAGGACCACTTAAAGGAGGAAAAGTGTATTTTGGCTCAGAGGTTCAGTTCATGGTAGGCCAATTGCATTACTCTGGCCTAAGATGAGGCAGAACATTACAGAGGAAGAGCATGGTGAAGGAAAGAACAGAAGAGGAAGTCCAAATCAGGCCTAGTCAGAAAGAACTCAGGAACTTGACTCAAATATAGTGAAAAGAGTATTTACCAAGTTCATGGTGAAGGGCATGGCATCCAGGAAGAAGAAAAAGAGGGAAAGGGGCCACAGGAGGAGGGCACATCTCCAGTGACCCACTTCCTCCAGCCATGCCATGCCTGCCTACAGTTACCACCCAGTCAGTCCATTCAAACCAGTACAGACTGATTAAGTTACAGCTCTCACAAACTAAGCATTTCACCTCACAACACAGGAAGTTTTGGGGGACACCTTATATCCAAACCATAACACTGGGACACAGATTTTTTTAGAATCACAAACTTCTAAACAAAAATATACACTTTCAAAAACAACAATAATAACAAAAAGAGTGCTGGGTGAGGTTGTGCCTGCCTGTAGTCCCAATAGCTCAGAAGGCTGAGGTAGGAGAATCAAAAGATCAAATCTAGCCTCAGCAATTTAGTAAGGCCCTAAGCAACTCAGCAAGGCCTTGTTTCTAAATAAAATATTTAAAAAGGGCTGGGGATGTGGCTCAGTGGTAAAGACCCCTGGGTTCAATGTCTGGTACAAAAATAAAACAGAGTAACAGAGGTGAGAATAGTAGTTATAGTAGGAACCTGATTGAACTGTGGCTGCATGGGAGACAAGGCAGGAAGAATAACAATGGTAGGTTACTTAGTTGTCATTCTCTAATTACAGGCAGCCCAGTGGATCCTCAGAGCACTATGAGTACCATTTCACCTCCAGAAGTATGGGAAACGAGACGTCCTTCATGGTCCTACTCTAATTGAGTACCAAAAACCCAGGGCATGCTCTTTTATTTTCCAACTCCAGAACCAATATCAATTCTCTTGCTGGCTAGTTATGTATGTGGGCATCATATTATGAGGTGCTGAGGATGGAACCCAGTGCTTCATGCATGCTAGATGAGTGCTCTACCTCTTAGCCACAATCCCAGACCCTCTCTAGTTTTGTACATAAAGTCTTTCAACTATAAGTGGAGATGAAAAAGCGATCCAAGCTTTTTCATACCAAATGAAAAAGACAGGAAGATTGAGGAAAGGCCAAAGTAGGGGGACAAGGGAGAGGAAAGACTCTAGCCAGGTGTATACTTACCACTTTTTGGTTTCCTTCATTATCAGTGAGCAGCCATTCGATATCAAGCGTGTCTTTTTCTGGAAGCCCCAGTTGATGGTGGCAGGGCAAAGTGACCTTTTCCTCTGCCACTCTCTTGATCTCAGTGTGAGTTCCCAAGGTTCCAACATAATAGGAAACTGGAAGAGGGAAACTTTAATGAGTAATGCAGAAACTGGAAGGCAATGTGTGGGGAGCAAATGTCACAACAAGTAATTACTGGTGTTCCTATGTGCAAGGTACAATGTCAAGGGTGTGGGAAAATCCTAGATGAGAAGTACTAGAAGTCCTGTTATCTCATACCACTGGACCCTCTGTTAATGGAATTCATGAACCTTCTTTTTTGGTAGTGCTGGGGATTGAACCCAGAACTGACACATGCTAAGCAAGTGCTTCTTTGCCAACCTACATCCATAACCCTCATTCATATTTTTTTATTAGTTATTGATAGACCTATATTTTACTTATTTATTTGTTTACATGCGGTGCTAAGAATCGAACTCAATGCCTCACACGTGCTAGTCAAGTGCTCTACCACTGAGCCATAACCCCAGCTCCATCATTCATATTTTTTAACCTCCCTGATTACATTCTTCCCTTACTACCTTACTGTTTTGGGTTTTTTTTTGGTGTGTGTGTGTGGGGGGGGTGTTATTGTTGTTGTTTGTTTGCAGTTTTGGGAATTGAACCTAGGGTCTCATGTACACTAAGCAAGTACTTTACCACTGAGCTACATTCCCAGCCCTTTGATTTTTATTTATTTATTTATTTTTGTGGTGCTAGGGATTGAACCCAGGGCCTTGCGCTTTTTATTTTGTTTTGAGACACGTTCTTGCTCACAAGCTGGCCTCAAGCTTGTAATCCTCCTGCCTTCACAGTATCTGCAATTACAAGCATGTGCCACTGTGCCCAGCTCTTACTGGATGTTTATCAACAGTGGAATATCTCAAGTCAACAACCATGCCTTTTGATCTTTCTGTTTTCTACTAGCAGAGGCTTCCAATGGATGATGTTCATAGAAATCATGCACTAAATTGCCCAGTAACTGCTGATTTTTTTTTTTTTTTTTGGTACTGGGATTGACTCCAGGGGCCCTTTACCATGGCGTTGTTTTTTGTTTTTAACTTTGATACAGAATTTTTGCTCAGTTGCTTAGGGTCTGCTTTAGTTGCTGAGCCTGGCTAAAACATACAATCCCCCTGCCTCAGTCCTCTGGGATTATGGGTGTGTACCACCATGCCCAGAACAAGCCCTATTCTTTAAGTTATAGAATTCAATGTCACTTGAAGCTGAAAAACAACAACAACAAAAAAAAAACACCTCAAAAAAACTAGAAGTGACCTTGCCACTTTGCAAATGAACTCCTTTTAAATCCCTAATAATTGCTGCTGACCAGTAGCATAAATTTAAAAGAATAAAGAGACAACTAAAAAAATTATAATCTAAAGGAAAATTATTCATGATCAAAGGACTATGCAAATTTAGAAGAGAAAAATCATAGGCAATTGATTATAGGATTTAAGAAAAGCTTAACTCTTTCAAGGGATTTTTAATATTTATTTTTAGTTGTAGGTGGACACAATATCTTTATTTTATTTTTATGTGGTGCTGAGGATCAAACCTAGTGGCTTATGCATGCTAGGCAAGCATTCTACCACTGAGCCACAACCCCAGTCCTTTCAAGGGTTTTGTAAATATTAGAAATACTATATGCAAGTCACCTGATGTGGTGTTTAACACTTAGTGGATCTGAATACAAAGCAACTGGTTATATTTTTAAGAAGGTGGTATTTCATCAGGGCATGGTGGCACATGCCCATAATTCTAACCTTAAGAGGCAAGAGGATCACTTGAGCTCAGAAGTTTAAGATTAGTTTAGGCAACATAATAAGACACTGTCTCAAAAAACACAAAAAGGGCTGTGTGCAGTGGTGAATATCTCTAATCCCAGCTGCTCTGGAGGCTGAGGCAGGAGGATAGTGAGTTCAAAGCCAGCGTCAGCAACTTAGTGAGGTCCTAAGCAACTTAATGAGAACCTGTCTCTAAATAAAATATACAAAAGGGCTGGGGATGTGGCTCAGTGGTTAAGTGCCCCTGGGTTCAATGGTACCAAAATACATACATTCATAACACAAAAAGGTGGTATTTGACATGGGCTTTGATAAATGAAATTCACCTAGATAAGAATAGAGCATGAAAAAGGTGCTGAGATGTGGGAAGGGGAAATTATGGGAATAGAGGCAGAGTAGGGAGGAGGATATCAGTAATGGTAATAAATAGTTTAGCTTGGCTGATGTGAAGAATAAGTGTAGAAAGCAGTAACAAATTAAACTGGAAAGGTAATGGGGCAGTTTATGTGATAAAAGGTCTTACCTGCCACAGTGGGCATGGTGACATAATCCCTGGCTTGCTTGAGGAAGAGAGGTTTAGGAGCTGTAAGAGCACACAGGGAAAGGGGAGATACTGAGACATGTCTTTGTGAAAAAGCTATTAATTTTTTTCAGGTGAAAGATAGGTAGTAAATGTGGTAAAAAATAAAAGACAAATCTGAGAAGCAATGTGGAAGTCAAAACTATTGAATAGAGTGACTGGTTAGAATTAAGCAGTTTATGGTTTCCTATAAGCAATCTAAGACTTGGCTATAGTCTGGCTGTTTATATCCTCACCCTAATGCCCGTGTTGAAACCTAACCCCCAATTGATGGTATTTGAAGATGGGGCCTTTGGAATGTGTTTAGGCTATGAGGGTAGAGACTTTGGGAATACAATTAGTGTCATTATAAGGAAAAAAAAAGATTTAAAACCTAAAATTGTTTTCAAGCTTGTGTGACTGGTAGGATGATGATTGCATTAGCAGTACTAGGAAAGTTAGGAGCACAATGATGTGTTTTATTTTGGGGTGAAGTGGGGAGGGTAGACACTGAATCTGGGTTTAAGTTCATTGCAATATCTAGGTAGAACTGTCCATGAAGCTGCCCTGAGCACTTTCCCTGACCATAGCACCTCTCTTTATACTGCAGAAACCCATACAGCTTCCCAAATAGTGCCTACCCTCAGTTACGTTAGAGGAAGTTGCATAACCCTGGGCATTGCTTATTTCTTCATCTTTCATTTCTCGTGTGCCTCATATAAAAAGCTCTTGGAAACACTCCTGTTCTATCAGTTGTGCCTGGGCTAAACTTTTTCAGATCCCTTGAGTTTCCTTTGTCATTCCACAGAAACACCCTATGTGGGAGAGGGGAAGGCAGGGGTTGATATCCCACCCCCACCAAACTGGCTCCAACACCATGTTGGGTTTCCAGGTCACTCCTTAGACTCTTATTAATGGCAGCTTACTCTCAGACCTCTTTGTAGTACAGGAACAAAAGAGCTTTTACAGAGAGTTCCTGTTTCTCTTAGTAACATATTATTTTGTTCTTCCAACTTCTTTCTAGTTTCATGTTGTATGATTTCAAAATATCAAACAAGCTGGGTGCAGTGGCACACGCCTGTAATCCCAGCGGCTCCGGAGGCTGAGGCAGGAGGATACTGAGTTCAAAGCCAGCCTCAGCAAAGGCGAGGTGCTTAGCAACTCAGTGAGGCCCTGTCTCTAAATAAAATACAAAATGGGGCTTGGGAGTGATTCAATCAATGGTCAAGCGCCCCTGAGTTCAATCCTCAGCACACCCTCACCACAAAATCAAATCTTTCTATTCAAAACAAAATTCCAAGTTACTCCAGTTGAAGCATGTCCTCTATTCATACAATATCCTTTTGGCCAATAGGAATTCAGTTACACTTTTCTTTCTTTCTTTTTTTTAAGCTACTTTCATCTTTTTATAGCAGTGGTTTCCTATAAGGTATAAGACTTGGCTATAGACTGGTTGTTTATATCCTCACCCGAATGCCTGTGTTGAAATCTAACCCCCAATTGATGGTATTTGAAGCCAGGGTCTTTGGAAGGTGGTTAGGCTTTGAGGGTGGAGACTTTGGGAATGCAATTAGTGTCATTATAAGAAAACCCAGAGAGTTCCATGGGTCCTTTCACCATGTGAGGACACAGAAACAAGATGGTGGTCTGTGAGTGAGGAAGCCCTCATCAGACATTATATTTACCAGCACTTTGATTTGTGTGTGTGTTTGTGTGGGGCGGTGCTGGGGTTCAAACCCAGAGCCTTACACATTCTAGGCAATAACTCTACAACAAGCTATATCCTCATCCCCTAGTACCTTGGTCTTAGACGACTAGCCTCAGAATTGTGAGAAATAAATTTCTGTTATTTATAAATCACCCAGCACTGGTGCTTGGTTATAGTGACCTGAACTAAGAGACTCCAAATTCATCTTCTCTCCTCTTTCCTATTAATTTCTCTTATTACCTGACTAAATAAGGCAGCTTATATAAGTAAGGCATTGTTGATTATTAAATCTACAGCATTAAAGACTGATAAAATAATATGACAAAACACTGGATCAATTAAAAAATTTGTTCCTGCAGGTCAAATGCTTCAATTGATTCTTCAACTGAATAGTTTTTCCTATCCTATGGATCAAAATCCCAGAGAAGGAAAGGGACGGGGGCAGGGTGTAAGTATTGTAAACAGTACCTATCGACCAGCTATTGGTTATTTGGAAGTAATTGGTGACTGTTCCACCCAAAATTTGCTGCCTATTTTGTAATGAATAGTTCAGCCTGGTTCTATCATTCACTTTAATTCAGGGGCTGCCTATAATAACATCCAGCCTCTCCTTGGTTTGCAACTTTTTTAGGTTAGCCAGAATGATCCCAACTTTAGTTTCATATCACCTCTTATCATGCATACCCTAAACATTGAGTTCTATTGGGAAAAATGCAAAGCAAAGTGCAGGACCATAAGAGGAATTCAGTGTGTTGGCCTAATTTGGCTGAATTTATGTGGTGCAATTGAAATGGAAATAATACTTTCAATTTCCTTTTATTGCATATGTCAGAACAATTTTCTATGAACTAATAGGATATTTTCACTTGGGGTTTTATCCTGTAGGTTTGAATACACTGCAGGTATTCAAGAAATATTTATTGAATTGATTTGAATCTAACCCACACAACTGTTTTACCAAAAAGCAAATTAAGACACAGGGGTAAAAGAGTTCGTTCAAAGTCCTAAGAACTCATTAAGAGC